AATACCTAAATCTATCATTGAGAGATGAGGCCTACACTAATTTTGAATGCTACACTAAAATATAGAGGTCCACAGTCTGTAAGCATAATATTCAGGTTTGGAAGTAGCAGTTATATTGTGCTATATTTTTGGTTTTTTTGTGAAATATAATAATGCCAACCTTAGATGAAATTTAACATTTAATTTTTTTAATTTACTTTGACAGGCAGAAGAGGCTGATGAGTAGGAGGGGAGGGAGGGAGGAAGGAGCAGAAGAAGGGAGAGGATCACCTATCCTCTGGGCCAGGGTGAAGTCAGGAGTCCAGAAATCAATCCTTGTTTCCTGCCTGGGTGCATGGACCCAAGTACTGGAGCCATCATCTGTGATTTCCAGGATATTATATTTTATTATATAAGGTATAATAAAACATATGTATATATAATAAACATATATACATACACACATAAATGTAGACTACTCGAGTCGAAAGATTACAAATGTATATAATTGCCAACTAAATAAATAGAATGAACCCAGATACAATCAATTTTTGAGTATTATTCTAATGTCTAAAAAACTCAAAGGATAAGCTGCATTCACTCAAGTAATAAAAAATTATTGAGTAGCTGCTCATTGCATGCATGTAGGGCCTCTTCTATGTACAAAAGATATGGCAGTGAAAAGACAAAATCCAACACAAAGAGTAAAGCAAAAACATTAGCAATGAACAAGCTATATAAAAACAAAATACAGTATGTTAGAGGAAGAGAACAAAGCAGAGAAAACGATGTTTTCCATGTTTAAGGGAGGTGTGGACATATTAGAAGGCCAAAGAAGATCTGCTTAGGAAGAAAAAACATTGAAGGAAGGAAGGAATCAGCCAGGTGGACATCTAAGGAAGAATCTTCAAACACAGAAGGAGCCCAGGTATGTTAAGGAATAGTGAAAATTTCTGTAGCATAAGTAGAATGAAGGAGATGGAAAATCACAAATTGAAATCACAGCGGTAAGGAGGAGTGAGGTCACAACATGTATTGCCTTGTAGGCATTAGAAAGAAGTTTAGTATGTGAAGTCAAATGAAATCACCAGGTTTAAGTAGAAAAAAATGACATAATCTGACTTTAAGAGATCCCCTGTGTTAAAATTTAATGAAAGAGGATTTATGAAAAAATAAACAAGAAAATCACTGAGGAATCTACAAACTAATATAGACAGCAGCTGATGCTGACTTGGATATTATGTATCTAGTTCTGGACATATTGTGAAGGAATACTTGACAACATGTGCTGTCACATAAAGGCTGAGGTCTAGAATGCTCCAAGGCTGTTGGTAGAACAGATGAAAGAGTGCCATTCGCTGAAGTAGGAAAAACTATATGAGGGGCTGCTATGAACAAGAACATCATTAGCACAGCACTAGGCTAAATTTTAAATACTGAATAAATGACCAAAGAGAAGTGTTGAGTAGGCAGGTATTATCTAAAATATGGAATTAAGGAGAGAGATCTAAGTTGCAGTTAAAAATTCATAATTCATTTGCATAAACAAGATAGTGAAACCATGAGAGAAAAGATCAAAGACAGCCTTGGGATATATCCATGTTTTAAAAGTAGAAGATGAGAGAAACAAGGGAAACAACACAGGATGGAGTAGAAAAGAAACAGAAAGAGACTGGTTGACACTATACCCTGAAAGCCAAGTCAAGAAATGATCTTGAAGGAAAAGTGTTCTACAGACATAATAAATGTTACAAAATCTAAGCTGAGACTTAATGCCCAAATATGTTTAGCTTGTCCTAAAATAGTCTGTCCACAAATATACGACCATAAGTAATTGTTATTTTCCTATTGTTTCAAACTATATTGACAAAATGTATTATTTGAAAAGAATTTTTTAAAGATGTTTTACCCTCAAAGGATCAAATATTTTGAGTGGTTCATTAAATGAGAGCCTGTGACAGCACTTTGCCACAGAGGGTTAAGCCACCATATGAAGTGCCACAATCCCATATGGCCAGTTCGAGTCCTGATTTCTCTGCTTCCAATTCAGCTCCCTGCTAAGGTGCTGGGAAATCAGTGGAGGACTGTCCAAGTTTTTGGGCTCATGCAACCATATGAGAGACCTGAAACAAATGCCTGGCTTCAGGCTGGCCAGGTCCAAGCCATTGCTGCCATTTGGGAGCAAACCAGTGGATGCAAGATCTCTCTGTATCTCTTTCTCTGTCCCTCTAACTAGAAAAAGAGAGAAAGAGAGAGAGAGAGCGAGAGTAGAGAGAGAGAGAGAGAGAGAGAGAGAAGAGAAAAATAGAGAAAAAAGAGAGAGAGAGAGAGAGAAGGGAGGGAGGGAAGGAAGGAAGGGGGGAAGGGGAAAGGGAAGAAGGAGGGAAGGAAGGAAGGAGGGAAGGAATATTAATGAAAAGAAAAGGAGACCTTGGAAAGTACTACAACATAGATTAAAAATCAGTGGCAATCCAGAGAAAACCTGTTTTGGAGGGGTTGTGGGAATGTAAACAACTGGAGTGAGTCCAAGAGTGAAGAGAAGGTCAATTTGAGTCAGTGAATAGAGACAGTTCTCCCAAGGAGATCACTGCTAAGGCCATGATCATTGAAGATCTATTTTTCTCCATGTTTAACTGAATTTTTCAATCCTCGCATAATGATTTTAGGGAATATTTGTGATTCTCTAAAGTTGTTGGAACTAAAAATGTTCTGATCAAAGCAGTAAATAATTCATAAACTTAAGGAAGTGAATTCCTTTAAAAGTTCCTCATTAGGTATTATATAACTGATTATTACTATTCTGCTGATAATATTGAAAATCTAAATTTTTCAAGGGCGACTTCTGGGTTGCTTAAAAGCCAGGAGGCAGGAGATTCTTCCATGTCTCCCACATGGGTGCAGGGTCCCGTGCACCTGGGCCATCTTTGGCTGCTTTACCAGGCAAGTTAGTACAGAGCAGGATCAGAAGAAGAGCAGCCAGGATTTGAACTGGCACCCATATGGGATGACAACACTGCAGGTGGAAGTTTAAGTTGTATGCCACTGCACCAGCTCCAGAACTAGAGTTTTTGTAAGCTTTATTTGATGTCACTCCTGAAAATACAGTATGATACATTCTGAAACATTCTTTAGCCTGTAGTCCATCTTCTAAAGGAAGATTTATTGCATTAGCAGTACCAATGTTTTGGCATAGGTTCAGTAAAACCGTGCCCAAGAATAATCCAGCTGAATCTTTCCTAGTACTGTTCATAAAGTTTTAGTGATATTAAGCCACACTAATTACCTTATAGTCTATGGAGGATTTCGCACCACAACTATAGAGACCTTCTGATGCCAAAAGCCTAAAATATTCATTATCTGGTTCTTTACAGAAAAAGTTTACAACTCCTGCTTTAGCAGATCAAACATCCTTTGACGCATTTGAGAAGGTTTACCTAACAAACTGAAATGCTTATAAGGAATATGGACCACAGTATGCAAATACCCAATAATGCTCAAATTATTTTATAGATTCTATATTTTAATATTTAGGCTCAAATTGGGATCAAAACTCAAAAATAAAATAGGTATTGGTTATAAGAAGTACAAGTGTCCCACGGACTCCCCTTTTGCAACTCAGCAGATATGGTATTTTAATAAAATATGCTTAAGATGCATCACCAAACTAGTCACATTAAATATTCTCTAGTTGTGAAAAGCAGTGTACTATAGATAAAACCTCATTTTTAAAAATGGTTGCATATTGCGTTCTTTTATTGGTATGACAATTTATTTCTATTTTGATTGGTATTTAGACTGATTCTAAATTTTTGATAAACAATGTTATTGTAAATGTCATGTACATAGGCAACATGTTTTATTAACCTATTTTCATTTTATTTGGAAGGCAGAGAAACACATCTAGATAGACTAACATATTAAGAAAGATTTTCCATCTGCTGTTTCATTCACAAATACCCAGGACAGCCAGGACTGGGCAAGGATCCCCAAGGGTCTGAATTTCCACCCAGGTCTCTTTAAGTGGGTGTGGACACCCAAGTACTGGAGCCACCATCTACTGCCTCCCATGAGATACACTCTTAGGAAGGTAGATAGGGGGCCAGCGCCGCGGCTCAATGGGCTAATCCTCCATCTGCGGCGCCAGCACACAGGGTTCTAGTTCCGGTCAGGGCGCCGGATTCTGTCCCGGTTGTTCCTCTTCCAGTCCAGCTCTCTGCTGTGGCCAGGGAGTGCAGTGGAGGATGGCCCAAGTGCTTGGGCCCTGCACCCCATGGAAGACCAGGAGAAGCACCTGGCTCCTGGCTTCGGACCAGCGCGGTGCACCAGCCACAGCGCACCAGCCACAGCGGCCATTGGAGGGTGAAACAACAGAAAAGGAAGACCTTTCTCTCTGTCTCTCTCTCACTGTCCACTCTGCCTGTCAAAAAAATAAAAATAAAATAAAAAAAATAAAGGAAGGTAGATAGGAAGCAGAGAAGTATGGACTCAGACCACCTTCATATAGGAAGAGTGCATGTCACTGGCCCTGCAACATATTTGTATAAATATCTTTATCATATGTGTTTTACAATCCTTAACACTAATTGTCCTATTACATCTTACATAATAGATGATGACAATACATCATAAATGTCATTAACTTATGGGTGTAGTAGGGTACATAGACCATACTATGCTATCTTGTCAGGTCTAATCCCAGAGTGAAGTTGCTACAAGGGCAAAGAATGGTTTATTTCAAATTTGACATGTGCTCTTAAGCTATCCTTCAGAGAGTCTTATAATTGTATTTACCAACAGTAGATAATACTTTTCCCTCACATTTGCCAACTATTAACTTTTAAACAAATACTTAGCAGTATGGTTTGCAAATATTATTTGTTTCTTGATATATTTCTAATTCCAAAGCATGGAATAAAATCCTTAGTAAAAATATGTTAATCATAGATAATAACCCAATTAGAAGTGGCTTTATAGCACAATAAAATCACATCACCTAATGTTAAATATTGCTATAGACTTACGAATAATATTCTTCACTCTTCTTAGTGGCAGATTGCTGGTTGTCAAGGTCCCCGCTCTGTCTCTGCTGATTCAGTCCACAACCATCACTGTCCTCAGGAGGAGCAGCACTTTCATGCAAGTTTCTTAACCCCTCCATTTCCTTACTTTGGCAACGCTGCCCTTGTTCTTCAAACTTTAATGAAAGTTTCATATTAAAATCGCTGTTAGTACATAAATATAAACATTTTTGTGTTCATTTATTATTCATTTTATGTAGCACATTTATTGCTACATAAATGTTTTACATACACTGTTTTCTACTACAGTGACAGAAAAAAATTTTGAACATCCTGCTACTGGTTGGAAAAAGTTTATCAATAATACTTTGGATATTACACATGTTACAATTCTTCAATAAACAACAATGGAAACTGGAGAAACAATTCACCTCCAATAATTAGCTCTTACAATACACCACAGGCAATAGACAGTGTGCTAGAATCCTACAATGGTCTTAAAATGCTAATGTAAATTTCTGGTATTATGATATTATTATTTTTTTGACAGGCAGAGTGGACAGTGAGAGACGAGAAAGAGAGAAAGGTCTTCCTTTTGCCGTTGGTTCACCCTCCAATGGCCGCCGTGGCTGGCGCACCGCGCTGATCCAAAGGCAGGAGCCAGGTGCTTCTCCTGGTCTCCCATGGTGTTCATGTTCAGGTAGGGTTATGATAAATAACCCTACACTTCTTAAATATTTATTTACATATGAGAGAGAGAGAGCACTTTCATCTGTTGGTTCCTTCCCCAGATGGCTGCAATGGCAAACACTGGGCAAGGCTGAAGTCAAGTGTCAGGAACTGCATCCAGGACTCCCAGATCAGTAGTAGGGGGCCAAGCACTTGGGTCTTCCTCCACTGTCTTCCTCACGCCATTATCAGGGAGTCAGATTGGAAGTAAGAAGCCAGATTATGAATTGTCACCAAGTGGGATGCTGGCATCAAAGGTGGCAGCTTTACCCACTATGTAACGTCAGTTCCCTTTTAAAATATTTATTTATTTATTTGAAAGTAACAGAGAAAGACAACCCTATAACTTAACTACATTGTAATAAACTTTAATCCTGGAAACATCAATTTTGAAAAAATCTAGAAAGACCAACATTTAGAATTCAAGAAATTTCCTTACAACATTATTGGATAAAAAGATTAGCTATTATGCAAAATGAGCCCATTTTTTCTATTTTATGAAGGAAAGCTTATGAGCATAGTGCCAAGTGTATACAGTGAAAAACACAGCAGTCTCTAAGAAAACAGGACAAGCAGTGGCATATGAATATGCCACACATCATAAGCAACAACTTCTGTTTAAGTGCTTCACACAGAAATGAAGAACCAAGCCAGAGTCTGATATAACTAGAGAAAGAACACAATTAAAGGGACCAAAAATTCACTAGGTTAACAAAGGACTGATTTGCTAGGAATCATCCTGATGGGAGGATCTAAAATTCTTTTTAACTGGGTTTGCTCTTCAAAGTAACAAAAATTTTAAGATTGTTGATACTGGCACAAGGAATTAATTGTCCAAGATAATCATGTTTAACATATTTTTTATCCAAGAACTGTTGAGGAGGAAGATGTACTTCATGGAAGTTCAAAGTGATTACTGCACCTAAGACACTCGCCATGAATTCTAGTCAATGAAATGTATTTGTGCTGCATGTTATATACTTTAGTTTCAGCATTACAGCTCATGAAATTTTGGTGCATTCTGCTTCATTTCTGAATTTAAAAACTTTTGACAATTCTCCAAAATGTCAAAGATGGTACTTCCTCATTTTATGCTTTTATTTCTATCCACATTTCACTATCTAGTATGTTTATTAACCTGTATGGAAGCAATAAGAGAAAACACGTAAAATATGTCACTTTCTGTCATTGTCACCTGGATTTTATATTAACCATCCAGATTTACAGGATTTGACGATGCAGGTCTCTAGTAACAGCAAGGAGGCTTCCCCTCTGTGCTCTAAGCTATTTTTCTCTCATTGCTTTTATAATTATTTTTTCCATAGACAATAACTTTTAAAGTATTCACAGATCATTAAAACTTTATATTAATAACATTCTTAACCATTGGGTTCACAAAGGTGTAAAACAAAGCTTTAGAAAAACTATGTTGCCAGGCCGGTGCTGTGTCCTGGGCCCCTGCACCCACGTAGGAAGCCCGGAAGAAGCTCCTGGCTCCTAGCTTCGGATCAGCGCAGCTCCAGCCATTGTGGCCATCTGGGGAGTGAATCAGAGGATGGAAGACCTCTCTCTTTGTCTTTACCTCTCTCTGCAACTCTGTCTTTCAAATAAATAAAGTAAATCTTAATTTAAAAAAAAACTACGTTTCCAGCAATATTTTTCCCTTTAGATCCTGGGATATTTGATATTCAGAAAAGGGATACATGTTCACTAAATATATCCGTCCAAGTTTGCCACACCTTCAAAAGAAGAGGGAATGTCATGAATTGTTAGTGAGAGATACTGAAAAATAAGCTTCCCTCATTTTACAGTCACTAAGCATATAATTTCATAGACGGAAGGCATGAAGTAATTAAGTGTTCTGGCCCCATTATCTACTGATAATGGGAATAAAACTTCAAAAGGTTTAAATGATTCAGACAAAGTACACAGAGTGGCTTTTCCTAGCATTTATGGCACTAACAGAAAACACACATTCTATAACACTGAATCAGATACATTACCAGAGAAAATAACCAAATTAATCACAGAAATGAGCAGTGTGACTTTGTCAAAATACTCCAATGCCTTCAGGGTGAGGAGCGTGAAGAGAGGCTTTATCTACCCTTACCTATAAGAGGATATCTGTAGATTTTTACATACCTATAAAACTGTAAGTACTCCAGAATGTAGCATCCTAATTTAGAGACAAACATTGAACTTCTGGTGGTGGTTTATGATACTTATAAAAGTCTAATTCACCAGAAATACTTGTGTAAGCATAAAAGTTACATGAAAGTGTATGTAAGTGTTTGAAAAAAATCTTTAAAATAGTCATGTTGGAACACAAAGTTCCATGTACTTTAACTGAATCAGATAAAGTTGTACAATAGACTAAGGCACAATAAACAGACTCACTATGCTTGTAATAGGTTTCACAACACTCAAGGCCAGGTACATGCTAATATTCACTCTCAAACAATGGTTCCTTCCCACGGTATGCTCACTGGATCCCACATATTCATATTTTTAATATGTAATCAATACAATTCACACAAGATCGATCCAAGTAGTTGGTTTCCTGAACCGCATAAGGGACTCAGATGAAGTTTCTGGCTCCTGATTTAGGTCTAGCGCAAGTCCTGGCCAAAGTGGCCAATTGTGGAGTGAAACAGTTGATTAAAGCTCACTCTTGCTCGTGCTCTCTCTCTTCCTCTCTCTCTCTCCTCCCTCCCTTCTCCCATATCTCCCCTCCTCCTCTTCCAAAACTCTGCTTTTCAAATAAATAAGTGAATCGTTAAAAAATAGATAACTTGTAATTTATTGTTAAGCCAATCAAAATGGCTAGGGCTTATTAAAATTTTTAAAAAAATCTTTATACTTATTCTGGTTCAGAAAGTCATAGAGTATTCAGTTAAATTATTTGCCCAGGTTAAAGGTCACTGGGAAGAAATTAAATAATAAAACTATGAAGATTTTTTTAACTGTAATTTAGAGAGCAACATCATTGTGTACATAAGCTTTTTCTAGTATGAAAATCACAATGGATCAGGTAATTGGACACAGGCAAATAGTAGAGTATCAACAAGGGAACCTCTCTGTATTTTGGCAAGTTAAACTTTTTCACCAAGGCCAGAAACTACTTGTAATGAAACTACCTCATTCTTTTTAAAAATCTACTTAATGTATTGGAAAGTCAGAGAGAGGGAGAGAGGGAGAGGGGGAGAGGGGGAGAGAAAGAGACAAAACTCTGCTGGTTCTCTACAACTACCCACAATAAGCATGAATAGGCCAGGCAAAGGCCAGAAAGCTGGGAACCTAAAGGTACATCTCTCACAGGAGCGTGAGAGAAACAAAGTACTTGAGCCATCCACCTGCTTCCCAGGGTATGCATTACTGGAAGACAGAACTGGAGCAGCGCACTTGGACATAAACCCGGAACTGTGATATGGAATGTTAGTATCCCAATGTGTATCTTAATGACTATGTACAAATGTCCACTTATCCTACCTCATTCTTAAATCTACACATATTTTGCTGCAGTACTTCATTTTGATGTTTTGGTCCTACTGTGAGGGAGAAGAACAAATAATTTCTTTTTTTTTTTAATTTTTTTTGACAGTAGAGTTATAGACAGGGAGAGGGAGAGACAGAGAGAAAGTCTCCTTTGTTGGTTCACTCCCAAAACGGCCGCCTCAGCCAGTGCTACGCTGCTCCGAAGCCAGGAGCCAGGTGCTTCCTCCTGGTCTCCCATGTGGGTGGAGGGCCCAAGGACTTGGGTCATCCTCCACTGCCTTCCCGGGCCACAGCAGAGAGCTGGACTGGAAGAGGAGCAGCTGGGACTAGAACCCAGGGCCCATATGGGATTCTGGCGCCACAGGCGGAGGATTAGCCAGGTGAGCCATGGTGCCGGCCTGTGTAATAGGTTTTTAAAAATGTTATTGAACACCATATCTAGAATTGTTTGCCTCTTTCAAGAAAATGATTAGCTATATGACACAACAGCTTCTAAGATTTTGTCTAATAAGCAGTTAACATGTTTTTAATTAAGCATTAAATTATGATCTTTTGATACATATATACACACCTACATATTTATATACATATATAAATATCTGGTATGGAAAGTCATTTTGATTGGTATATGCTATGATACACAAAAATATGAAATCAGAAGTTTACGTTTTTACATACCTGCTTATTTTCACTTCCATCAAGCCATTCTTGTTCTTCCTTGGGTGCTGTTTTAATGTCATTATTTGTTGGAGAAGACTTGACATTTTTTAACTCAAGTTCTGTGCTTTTATATTGATTAGTATTGCAGTGAGGAAGGAAATGCCTCTTGAGATGTTTTGGTATTGGTTTTAACTTGATTCTGCCTGTAACTACAAAACACTAGACTTTATTATTTGAATCATATGCTTCAATTGTTTAGTTTGGGTAAGCCACAAGTCCAAAATGTTTTCTGGGCCACTGAGGTGAGGCACATATCCAGGGTCTAATTCAATTAGTGATATTTTGTTTAATATTTTTTTGGCATTTACACAGGTAACTCTAGTGTCCCTTACAGATCTATATTTCTACTTAAATATGTTAATTATCAGTGAGAGGAAAGCTACAATCTTAAAAAAAAAGCAAATAACTCATTTTATCAATCGAAAGCTTAAGTTTAATCTTTCATTGAATATTTAATTCTTTAAGAAATACCTCTGACTTCCAAATTATCAGCAAACAACTTGAGGAGACAGCAGATATCTTCCTGTGTACTAAATATAATCATGTAAGCCACTCAGAAGTTTATGCTAAATACCAGCCCACACAAAATTATCTATACTCTTGTCTCTATTGTTTATATGTGAACTCGAGCTCAAGAATAAAAATGATTTTCTGAATTATATCCTGTTGACTTTAGGTGGCATAAGAGGAGTAATCCAAAAGTGAACCCTGGAACAAAATGATGTTTGAAAGTCACACTATGAAATTATGCAGTCACACAGAAGTGCTCCAGGGTTAAATTCTGTGCTCTGATTTCCTCAGCTATTACTTTTATCTGTCCATGAGATTCCATGGATATTGATGGATTTTGGTCACAGAGTTAATAAAACAGTTATGTATCATCAATTGTCAAATTTGTATATCTTTGACACCTCTTATTACTGAGAATCAAAGGATAATCAAACTAGTAGGCAGCTGGGGGCAGAATCACAGTCTGAAAAACTTAAAAGTTATTTTTTCAACCATAAGAATGAAAATAATACAAATAAGATTAACATATACAAATGCATTAATTAAAAATTAGTTTAGTTCCAATATAGAAGCAAAGTACACAGAATTTCAGAATGCTCTAACTGGTATTTATCTGAAATATTTTTATCATTTTGATAAAAGATAAACTATCATATTTAAATATTTTAAGACAAGTCTAGAACAAAATCAGAAAAACAGAAAAAATTGTTATAGAATGCTATTATTTAATAATATAAATTTTTAAATACAACTTTTGGATGATAGTGGTTCTTCCCCCCATAACTTCCCTCCCACTTGCAACCATCCCATTTCCTACTCCCTGTCCCATCCTATTCTTTATTAAGATTTATTTTTAATTATCTTTATATAGAAGATCAACTCTATACTGAGTAAAGATTTCAACAGTTTGTACCCACACAGACACACAAAGTATAAAGTACTGTTTGAAGACTAGTTTTACCATTAATTCTCATAGTACAACACAGTAAGGACAGACGTCCTACAAGGGGAGCAAGTACACAGTGACTGCTGTTCTTGATTTAACAATTGACACTCTTATTTATGATGTTAGTGATCACCTGAGGCTCTTGTCATGAGCCGCCAAGGCTATGGAAGCCTCTTGAGTCCACAAACTCTGACATTATTTAGATAAGGCCATAGTCAAAGTGGAAGTTCTTTCCCACCCTCAGAGAAAGGTATCTCCTTCGTTGATGGGTCGTTCTTTCCACTGGGATCTCACTCACGGAGATCTTTCATTTAGGTCATTTTTTGCCAGTGTCTTGGCTTTCAGTGCCTGAAATACTCTCATGGACTTTTTAGCCAGATCCAAATACCTTAAGGGCTGATTCTGAGGCCAGAGTGCTGTTTAGGGCATCTGCATTCTATGAATCTGCTGTATCCTGCTTCCCATGTTAGGGCATCTGCCATTCTATGAATCTGCTCTGTATCCCACTTCCCGTGTTGGAGTGTTCTCTCCTTTTTAATTCTATCAATTATTATTAGCAGACACATATTATTTATGTGATCCCTTTGACACTTAATCCTATCTTTATTCAAATATGAACTTAAACTAGTTAAACTTAAACACTTTAACTAGTAATAGCATTGGTACCTGTGAACTTAATGGGATTTGGAGTCCCATGGCAAGATTTTAGCTTTACCCTTTAGGAGTAAGTCCGAGGGATCATGTGCCAAACTGTACATCTCCTCCCTATTATTCCCACTCTTATTTTTAACAGAAGTCAATTTTCAATTGCATTTAAACACCTAAGAATAACTGTGTATTAAGTAAAGAGTTCAACCAATGGTATTAAGTAGAAAAAGAAAATATTAAAAAGAATAAAATAGTAAGCTGTTCCTCGATAGTCAGGACAAAGGTTGATCAAGTCATTGCTTCTTGTGTCAGTTTCACTTTTACAGGTTTCCTTTTAAGTGCTCAGTTAGTTGTCACAGATCAGGGACATATGATATTTTTCCCTTTGGTACTGGCTTATTTCACTCAGCATAATTTTTCCAGATTACTCCATTTTGTTGCAAATGACCAGATTTCATTTTTTACCACTGTGTATTATTCCATAGAGTACGTATTTCATAATTTATCTATCCAGTCTTCTGTTCATGGGCATTTAGGTTGATTCCATGTCTTCGTTATTGTGAATGAGCTACAATTAACTTTGAGGTACAGATAGCTTTTTTATTTGCCAATTTAATTTCTCTTGGGTAAATTCTGAGGAATGGGATGGCTGGGTCGTGTGGTAGGGTTATATTCAGAAGAAATAAAACTTTAAAGGTGATTCCATCACCAGGGACTGCATTAACATTTGGGTAAGACTACAAAGGGTTTCAAGTAGTAATTCTAAATTCTGATCCAAGTTGGTATGTTCAGGTGCCAAAAAATCCAATCAAATAATTTTAGGTGTTAATTGCAATTTTCAATCCATTCTCTTAAAAGTGCAGAATCAACTTTTTCAGAGAGATATGCCATAAATACTATTAGTTGTAACAGTTAATGGGTCATGGATATTGGAATGTAGGACTCTGCATGCTTGTACTTAATTTTCCCAGTTTTCATATCTAATAAACTAACTATGAACAGAGCAGTCCACTAAGTAAAGGATCTCCAAATACTCACAAGGATTTTAATGGTAAAAGAACCCTAAGATGAGAATGTTTAAGAGTTCTAATTTACAATTAAATTATTTGGGGACACTAAATCAGTTCTTAAAGAAAATTTAAAGTATATATTTTTATTCTATATTGACACATCATTGTGGCATAGAATATGTTGTTTCCATATGTGTATTGTATTATACAATGTATAATGATCAGATTAGATCATTATTAGCATACCAGTCACTTCAAATATTTATTCTTTGGGAAAATTCCAAATCTTATTAACTATTTTGAGATTGCAGTTCCTCTTCTGTGCTTTAAAATGATTAAGTATTGTCTCTGTTCTCTGTAATCACACACACACACAAATGAGAGTATGCTAATCAGAACATCACTAGGATGGAACAATTAAAACAAATGAAATTTAGGAATAATGTTCCAATTTAGGTAAAGATCAGAATTCTATGACATTTTAAACCATTAAAATTTTAATATCTTAATTAACTTATGTCAATCCTAATAAAAGATAGGAATTTTAAACTAGGCACTTCAGGGTATCAAAAAATGAAAGGTATTTTTTAGCATCTCAGTTAAAGGTTACAGTCTCTAGATGAGAAATATATTTTTTTCAGACATGAATCTGAAAATGATATCTGCATTATTTGTGTCAAAACCTTTTATCAAATCTGCAGACAAAAATAATTTTTAGAATGAAGATTGAAGGCATTTCAAATACTGTGTTTCTTTCCAGATAACATTTGTACTGCAAAATTACCTTGTCTGCATGTTTGTACTTCATTCATTCCCACTGATGTTGCCCAAAAAGGATGTATTGCTTCCAGACGAGGCTGAAGGAGTTTTGAAACAAGATA